GGGGGAGGGGGGCAGGATGGGACATCAGACATTTCTGGAGTTCAGCGTCCTTCCCCCCACAAACCATTCTGAATTTCATACACAAGGAAGGAAATAGAGAGAGTCATGGGACAGGAGAAGCGGTGTCACAGCTCGGCCACCAGAGGGCGGCAGTGTCCTATCAGCGCCATGGATGGGATTGGAGCGTGTATTATATCATACGCTGCAATACGTAGAACAGGAAACAAACATCAGATAATGGCAGATTGTAAATCTGGTGACGTTGTATGTCAGAGGTACGAATCCCGCTTCACATACAACCGGAGGATCCGTGACACACGGAAGTGACATATATGTGGCAGCAATGTAACCCTATACACGGAGACATCAGCAGAAGAAAATCTGGCGGGCCTCACACAGAGATCTGGCGGGCCTCACATAGAGATCTGGCGGGCCTCACATAGAGATCTGGCGGGCCTCACATAGAGATCTGGCGGGCCTCACACACAGATCTGGGGGGCCTCACACAGAGATCTGGCGGGCCTCACACAGAGATCTGGCGGGCCTCACACAGAGATCTGGCGGGCCTCACACAGAGATCTGGCGGGCCTCACACAGAGATCTGGCGGGCCTCACACAGAGATCTGGCGGGCCTCACACAGAGATCTGGCGGGCCTCACACAGAGATCTGGCGGGCCTCACACAGAGATCTGGCGGGCCTCACACAGAGATCTGGCGGGCCTCACACAGAGATCTGGCGGGCCTCACACAGAGATCTGGCGGGCCTCACACAGAGATCTGGCGGGCCTCACACAGAGATCTGGCGGGCCTCACACAGAGATCTGGCGGGCCTCACACAGAGATCTGGCGGGCCTCACACAGAGATCTGGCGGGCCTCACACAGAGATCTGGCGGGCCTCACACAGAGATCTGGCGGGCCTCACACAGAGATCTGGCGGGCCTCACACAGAGATCTGGTGGGCCTCACACACAGATCTGGCGGGCCTCACACAGAGATCTGGCGGGCCTCACACAGAGATCTGGCGGGCCTCACACAGAGATCTGGCGGGCCTCACACAGAGATCTGGCGGGCCTCACACAGAGATCTGGCGGGCCTCACACAGAGATCTGGCGGGCCTCACACAGAGATCTGGCGGGCCTCACACAGAGATCTGGCGGGCCTCACACAGAGATCTGGCGGGCCTCACACAGAGATCTGGCGGGCCTCACACAGAGATCTGGCGGGCCTCACACAGAGATCTGGCGGGCCTCACACAGAGATCTGGCGGGCCTCACACAGAGATCTGGCGGGCCTCACATAGAGATCTGGCGGGCCTCACATAGAGATCTGGCGGGCCTCACATAGAGATCTGGCGGGCCTCACACAGAGATCTGGCGGGCCTCACACAGAGATCTGGCGGGCCTCACACAGAGATCTGGCGGGCCTCACACAGAGATCTGGCGGGACTCAGCACTGTGGTTCTGTCTCTGAATTTGCTTTCCTATTTAACAAGATACAACATGCTGCAGGTTGGAGGATGCCGGTCTGTCAGCGAGAAGATGCAAATTTGTCTCTTTTCATCCGGTTTCATCTTTCTTGTTAAAGGAGAACTCCGAGGTCGGGGCTTTCCCCATAGTTCTCCTTAGGGTAACGGGAGGACACAAACTAGCGTCCTCCCGTCACCCTAGGCTCAGTATATAGGGAGCTACAGCTCGCGGTATACTGAGGCGCCGCAGCCGGAGCGGATCCCGACATCGATGTCTGGATCCACCCAGCTGTGTGACTGACAGCTGGCTCCTCCTATCTAGAGGCAGAGCCAGCTGTACCCGCCCCCTCCCCCGTCCGTTCCGCCAGTCAGCGCTGGCGGATCGGAGCGGGGAATCCAGCCCCTCCCCTGTCACGGCAGAGAGCCGTGACAGGATCGAGAGGTGAGCGAACGCCGGTATGTGTCCGCTCACCTCCCGATCTACTGAGCCGACCTGTGACAGTCTCATTGTCACAGGTCGGCTAGAACTATGAGGTGAGTGAGAAGCCCCTCCCCCTCCTCATAGTTCTCCTTTAATTCTGTGCAACACCCAATGAAAAAGCAAGAACTGGAAGTGGAGGGAAGGCAGAATGACAGCCAATGGAAAGATTAAACACTCCGTTCCTGCTTTGTATGGTGAATACGGAACCCCCGATGGTGCCGAATATGGCAGGTGGAAGATCTTCTATGCAGATTGTGGAAACCGTACAATGTGGTGATTCCATTTGTCCTAATTCTCTTGTTCATCCTCATTTGTAGTTTGCATGTTATGGAGAAAGTAAAGGGAGAGAAACCGCAGCCATTCACATTTTGACCGCAGCCATTGTTTACATTTTGTGGAAGCTGTGATTGGTCACAGCGATCACATGGTACAGAGACAATGCCAATGAAAGACAGAGACAATTTTATTGGCATTGTTTCATTTCATTGTTTTATGAAGTTCGCTGTCCAATGGCCAGTGTGTACACAGCGGAATGATCGTGCACGCGCTGGGGGGGACGCACCGGAACAGAGAAAAAAAATCACCATACAAATATGGAGACCGGCAATATAGAGTGAGCCGCCCGATCATTTATACACACCGGGAAGAATGACGAGCGGCTGAGCCGGGAGGAGACATTCGTCTGCGTGTTACTTTGTTCTTGTTATATAAAGAATGGATATTTTCCGGCATGTTCCGGCCGCGCGGATCGCGTTGTACACTTGTCATGTTTGTCGTCTGGTTGAGCGCGCGATCGCGTCAATGAGCTGACGCGATAACGTTTGTATTTGGAAACCATTTTTAAAGCCTCTCACATTCCATCGTCCATCATTCAGCGTTTCCTCCGCGGAGGGATATCACATGAAGTACATTCTACATTCTATCTCGGGGGGACGAATGAGGATTGGGCACTTCATGGCTTCAGCAGTCCACGCTACACCATTGTCCTCATGAGGGTTCAAGTCAGGACCGGAAGTTTGTTGTAACCCAGAAAAAAGGTTAGGATTAGAGGCCAGAGATATTATAACTGCGTTGCTGCAAACCGACATTCCTCCTCCCATGAATGTAGAGGAACCATTCCCGGCTGTGTCATCGTCTCAGATCTTATTCTGTATCCGTGTTATGATAGCGTGTCCGTGTGTAGTAATCACGTATGTATATGATCCAACATGCATGCTGCCACGGCTTTCTTCTCCATCCCCGCGCTGCGCCCGATGACACCATAACATGAGCAGGACGGGGAGAAAACGCGGGAAGTCATTGTCCTATAGAGGAACCATTCCCGGCTGTGTCATCGTCTCAGATCATATTCTGTATCCGTGTTATGATAGCGTGTCCGTGTGTAGTAATCACGTATATATATGACCCAACATGCATGCTGCCACGGCGTTCTTCTTCATCCCGCGCTGCGCCACATGACACCATAACATGAGCAGGACGGGGAGAAAACGCGGGAAGTCGGAGGCCAATGACAGACTCTTCCCTCAGGCTGGAGATAAACGGTTCCGTGAAATCGTCTGATTGCTGTAATAGAACGTAAGCTGCGGCCACGGAGGCGACTGAAGTGTCTCTCGCCGCGCTCCGCATCTGACATGGAAACACTGAGGAGGTCAGGAAATAAAACCAACGAGGCCCATCAGCGTGGACTCCGCACCTTCTAATGGAGGGTCATACTGTTCACAATTGCTGAAAATGTCGCCTCCAAGATGATCTACAGAGCTCATCCTCCCTCTGCAGGAGCTGGGAACTTCATCGCCCACTAGAACGCGCTCACATATAAAGAGGAACGTCACCCAGATCTTTACAATGACAACAAAAGACACCTTTAGCCCTCGTTCACACCTGAACGTTTTGTAGCGCGTTCTACGCTCGACGAAAGCTCTACAAAAAGCTCAAAAATATAAATCCCATTGTAGTCCATGGGTCTCGTTCCCACCTTGGCGTATTTCCGCCCGTCCCTAACGCGCTACAAAACGGCCCACGCCTGAAAAAGGTGCAGGTACTACTTTGGGCCGTTTTGTTGGGCGTTTCCATTGGGATACAGCCAAGTAGCCTTCGGAAACGCGCGTATGTCGCGTGACTTTTTTACCGCGAATCGCGGTAAAAAAACACGCGACAGACGCGCATATGCAATACGCCTAGGTGTGAACCAGGCCTTGGAGATGTTCAGTGATGACAATCTACAATCAGATACTTCCCCATCATTGTATCATTTGTATTCTTTGCACCTCATTTTCTTTTCCTCCCCATTCTTCTCACAGCGGCCATTGTTACTAAGGGCAGGTTACTAGATCGCCCTTTACTTCCTGGACCTCTGGCACATGTGAAGGGGTAAAGATCGACTTTAATATGTTTATCAGATATGAATTGATCTCTTCTTTCCACTTGTACAAAGATAAACGACATTAAAGTATCACACACACACATTCACGCCTTTCCTGCAGCAGCCCCATAATCTCTCCATGAAGCCCATAAATGATCATGTGAGGAAATTATAAACTGAACATGTGTAAAAAGTTGTTTTATCAGCCTGCGAAGGAGGAATCTCCCGGAAACACCCCAATAAAGTACTGAGAGCGAGAAAAGCCTAATTATAGCCACAAATCATATAAACAATATACTGCTATGCCGGGAGAACATTCACAATGTATCTACAGACTGTGCAAGACGATTCTGAACCCAACATAGCACCACATAGAACACTACAACCCCCAACATGGCCGACCACGGGAAACCATCATAATACAATTCTATGACACTCTATATATAGAACACTACAACCCCCAACATGGCTGACCACTGGACACCATCATAATACAATTACACTCTGTACATAGAACACTACAACCCCCAACATGGCCGACCACTGGAAACCATCATAATACAATTCTATTACACTCTATATATAGAACACTACAACCCCCAACATGGCTGACCACTGGACATGATCATCATACAATTCTATGACACTCTGTACATAGAACACTACAACCCCCAACATGGCTAACCACTAGACACCATCATCATACAATTCTATGACACTCTATACATAGAACACTACAACCCCCAACATGGCTGACCACTGGACACCATCATAATACAATTCTATTACACTCTGTACATAGAACACTACAACCCCCAACATGGCTGACCACTGGACACCATCATAATACAATTCTATGACACTCTATACATAGAACACTACAACCCCCAACATGGCTGGACACCATCATCATACATTGTGACAGTGTAGTCCCTGTGACTGGACACCCAGAATCCGGGTCGGTGATCGCCGGGTGCCGGGTCGGCTGTATTGTGTTGGGAAAAAACATCCGAATCCGACCAGAAATCTATTTGGCCAGAAAGATGAGAATCGGATCGGCTGTAAGACGTCATCGGGATCAGAGCTGTGTCGCCTCTTCACACTATAACACAGCGCTACACCGCAGAGGATTCTGGGAGTTTCTGTGCCGCGGATGACGCCGGAGTGTAGAGTAATGACAGCCGGAAAAAATAAAATGTAAAATCAACAGCCGCCCATCGGGAAGATAAGAGCCGGCAGGAAGGGAGACGGATGCAAATAGCCGGAGCGCGTGTCACCCATAACAATCCACTTCTACCAATGTGTGAAGACACCGCAACACGACTTCTACATACATGTTTAGGGTTTTCTTTAACCCCTTCCTGCCAGCCCGCCTGCCGGCCATTAAGGAAAGGTTATTGCCGGACGGGCTTCCTGGGCTTCCCAATCACAGTGATCACATGATCGGAAGCCCGGCCTTCTGTTGCTATGTGAATGGGAGCTGTGTCTGCACCCCGGGGCGTGCATCTCTACCCGTACCTGCACCTGTACCTGTAGGTGCATCTCTACCCGTACCTGCACCTGTACCTGTAGGTGCATCTCTACCCGTACCTGCACCTGTACCTGTACCTGTATCTGTAGGTGCATCTCTACCCGTACCTGCACCTGTACCTGTAGGTGCATCTCTACCCGTACCTGCACCTGTACCTGCACCTGTACCTGTATCTGTAGGTGCATCTCTACCCGTACCTGCACCTGTATCTGCACCTGTAGGTGCATCTCTACCCGTACCTGTACCTGTAGGTGCATCTCTACCCGTACCTGAACCTGTATCTGCACCTGTATCTGTAGGTGCATCTCTACCCGTACCTGTAGGTGCATCTCTACCCGTACCTGCACCTGCACCTGTATCTGTAGGTGCATCTCTACCCGTACCTGTAGGTGCATCTCTACCCGTACCTGCACCTGTATCTGTAGGTGCATCTCTACCCGTACCTGTAGGTGCATCTCTACCCGTACCTGCACCTGCACCTGTATCTGTAGGTGCATCTCTACCCGTACCTGTAGGTGCATCTCTACCCGTACCTGCACCTGTATCTGTAGGTGCATCTCTACCTGTATCTGTAGGTGCATCTCTACCTGTACCTGTATCTGTAGGTGCTTCTATACCCGTACCTGTATCTGTAGGTGCATCTACCCGTACCTGTATCTGTAGGTGACCTGACTCTGTTCCCGACTCTTCTGGATTCTGCTGGTGACCATGGCTTGCTCTCTGGACTACACTTCTGTCTGTTGAGTTTGTACCACGGTACCGATCCCTGGTTCTGTCTGAGTACACGTCTGCCTGCTGTCCCGGCTGCCTGCCTGACTTTGCTTGCAGCTCATCCTGTCATTCTTATCGGTCCGCACCGCTCTATGTGACATCGGGGGAACAAACACTGCAACTCCATCACTCCTCCATGTCACCTGTTGGAAGAGATACGCCGGAGAGGCTCCTCCCACAACATGGACACCAATCAGGTATGTCAAAGGACATTTATTTCTACAAAACTCTGTATCACTACCGGGCCTAAAATATGGACAATTGGGGAGGAAAGACGAATCTGATCGCAGTGGGGGCAACTGGAAGGTAAAGATCCAGAGAAGTGAGTAAATGTACAAAGACTAAACCACAAGCAGATTCAATGACAAACTATGGATCTAATACCCAACACATCACTAAACCCGGGCTGGCAGAACCCCCTGTCCAATTCCTGACTCACACATGGCCCGGGTCAGCAGAACCCCCTGCCCAGGTCCTGGCTCACCCATGGTGCCGGTCAGAAGAGTCCAGGTCCGGGTCTGGGTTTACACATGGCCCAGGCTAACATAGACCCATGTCCAGGTCCTGGTTAACACATGGCCCAACGGCCCAGGCTGGCAAAGCTCCTGTCCAGGTCCTTGCTCACACATGGCCCGGGTCAGCAGAGCCCCCTGCCCAGGTCCTGGCTCACACATGGCCCGGGTCAGCAGAGCCCCCTGCCCCGGTCCTTGCTCACACATGGCCCGGGTCAGCAGAGCCACCGTCCAGGTCCTTGCTCACACATGGCCCGGGTCAGCAGAGCCCCCTGCCCAGGTCCTGGCTCACACATGGCCCGGGTCAGCAGAGCCCCCTGCCCAGGTCCTGGCTCACACATGGCCCGGGTCAGCAGAGCCCCCGTCCTGGCTCACACATGGCCCGGGTCAGCAGAGCCCCCGTCCTGGCTCACACATGGCCGTGCGCAGTGTGTGTCGGGCGGATGGAGATCACTCTGCACCCCCTTCACTGGCAAAGTAAAATGTCATTTCCTAAGCAAGCTGCAGTTATCTGAACTATTTCCTCACAGCCATCGTTCACATTATCATCCCAGAATCCAGACAGCTGACTCCAAAATAAAGAGATATCACTGGAATGTCCCTGAAGATGAGCTGAGATACAACAATTGGGCACCAGAAAAAAAAAAAATGAAGTCCCCCAGCAACACATGTAACTGCGCCATGAGACATTATTATTATTATACGGGATTTATATGGCGCCAACAGTTTGCGCAGCGCTGTACAATATAAGGAAGACATTACAATACAATTCAAGACAAGATGGTGAGGAGGGCCCCGGCCCTGAGGGCTTACAATCTAAAAGGGGAGGGGGAACATCCCATAGATCCCGGACTGTCCTGATAATGAATGGCGGCCTCTCATCATAGGAATACCACCGATGGCAGGTCACACAGAGCGATGACTAGTGGGGAGTACAGTCAGTGGAGGAAATTGATTTAAAACTAGAGAATATGTAAACCCCCCAACAATGAACTTCTCTTACTCGCCCCCCTTCGAGCTGTAAAATACATCAATGAATGTGTCTGTTATCTGTGAATAGAAATACCTGATGATCAATTCAGAAATTCAGAGCTGCCCTGTGCACACTTCCTGTGTCATCTCCAGCAGAGTAATTAGCTCTCCCAGTTCTTGTCTTGGGACTAGAGAATGATTAGTCTTTAGGTTGCCGAGATGAAGTGGGAGGGTTTGAGTAATTTATCAAAAGACAGCTGGGCAGGGCTGACACCACTCAGTCCATTCCAATTTTGCCCTGACATGCATGTTAAAGGAGAACTATAGAGTTAAGGCTTTTCCCCCATAGTTCTCCTTAGGGTAACGGGAGGACACAAACTAGCGTCCTCCCGTCACCCTAGGCTCAGTATATAGGGAGCTACAGCTCGCGGTACACTGAGACGCCGCAGCCGGAGCGGATCCCGACAATTATGTCTGGATCCGCCCAGCTGTGTGACTGACAGCCGGCTCTGCCTATCTAGAGGCAGAGCCAGCTGTACCCGCCCCCTCCCCCGTCCGTTCCGCCAGTCAGCGCTGGCGGATCGGAGCGGGGAGGGGGGAATCCAGCCCCTCCCCTGTCACGGCAGAGAGCAGTGACAGGAGACTCACCATGGCGCTGATTGTTTCCTCCCAGTCCGGCCTCTCCCGGGGATGGATGCTACGTGGCAGCTCCGGTACAAAGTCATCTTCTTCCAGATGCAGCGAGGACTTCATTATTCTAGAACATGAGAGATACGATAACGTGAGTATACGTTGCGTCCGTCCATTCAGAGCTATACACATTTTACAATCAGTTACACTTCCCTAGGATCTCACTGTAAGATCTCCTCATACAATGGCGGCACACACACAGCTTCCAGGGGACTGTACAATCCGGAGGTGACAACGTGTACCGGGCTAACCTCTCAATCACCCCC